GTCAAGCCTAATACTGAATAATATATGATCTTTGATTCAGTCTAAATATTTCATTGGTGCATGGATTTTTGTACATCTAATGAGCTCATAAATGTTTGATCATTGTTGCTTTGCGCAGTACTACCACTAGAGGGAAACTACATCGCAAGGCTATGGGACACCTATTAATATTCTGAAAGAGATACACGCACAAAACATCATAGTCAGTACAATAAGGTATACAATTATATGTTCACTATTGTACCAGAGGCATTGAGCTTCTCACTAACATTCAGCAAAGTAAAATCCCAACACAAAGATTTCACATCGCACAATTGTATCACAAGCCCTTTCTCTGTTGTTATCTGCCACTGTACTTCTCCCAGGCAAAACCAAGTTGCTGCAAAAGAAAAAAACACACACAGCCTAAACCTGTCAAGAAAATTTACAACACAAGCTGATATGAATTTCAAGGATGCATCATAATTTGGGTTCTGGACAACCTAACTGAAGAGTTCATACTTTTCTCTCTGAGTTTATGATGGTACCAGAACAGTTTGATGTGTTGCTTCCTTGTAACAATCCTAGGTTATGTTTTAAGATCTATGTTATGTGGCATATGTAGAGTATGGTAAATGTATGTTAGTACTTTAATGGCAGGCAGATACTTTGGCTTCTGTGTCAATGTCATTCTTTTTATCCTTTCATTTATATTGTACCCTCTTAATGACATTTAACATGCTCGTCATTCGATAGTCTAAAAGAGCACACCTTTCTAAAACGTAAACTATGGATTATGAGATCTAAAAGGCAAATTTGGTGTGGGTTATCACAGCTTCCAGTGTGAAAATATCTCATTATGGGATTCATGTGAGATTCACCATTGTTGAATACAAGTGGGTAAAATATTACATTCCAACTTTAGTGGGCATGGTTCATTTTCATTATGGGGAGCCTAGACCCCAGCAGTCCAGCCAGATCCTGCCCTCACTTGCAATCTACCAATGCACTTTTCAGCAAGGAGCCACGAGGGAAGGAATCAGGTGTAAGAATCCTGATAGTTTTCTCCATTCTTGACATACTGCCACAGCAATAACAATAAGAACAACAACTTGCATTTATATAGCGTCCTTCATGCCAGATGGTGTCTCAGAGAACTTGGAACAGCAGAGTTCACCTAACTCACTGGTCACCAACCACTGAGCCTGGTACCATCCACTACACAAAGAGTCAAGATCGACTAATGACCCGCTGATTTTTAGGTGTGTATTATTGTTTGGGGAATCTTTGTCAATAGTTTTGTTGTCAAGTGCTGTATTCAAGTGAACTTTGAAAGATGTGTTTTTTTTCCACAAATAACCGTAAGAGAACTAGAGATTTCCCACAGGCTTGTTTCCCAAACCTCACAATATACTTCATTAATTTTTAAACATTATTTTTTACAATATCATGTGGTTCCACCTGTAATAGCTGTATAGAAAGTGAGAGCCATTCAGCACATCATGTCTGCCCTGGCTCGTTGAAAGAGCAGTCTATTCAGTCTCATTTACCTGCATTTTTCCCCAAACCCCTGTAAATTATTCCTATTTAGATATCCATTGTGTTCCCTCTTGAAAACTGATATGGATTGTGCCTTGACCACCGGACCTGGCAGGGCATCTTCATCCTACAACTCTCTTTAAATAAAACCCTCCCAATCTCCTCCTTTGCTCGCTTGTTAACCATCTTAAATTGATGTCCCAATATTAGGTACAATCCTTACCTCTACAATGTGAGAAAAATCAGCCACTGAAGGTAATTTATCCACTATAACCTGGCATCTAATTGTAGATCATCAAGTAAAGTACGTCGCTTGTTCTTTCAGATCCAATCTACCTTATCATTCACTCATCCCCTTCATCTGTGGCAGTCGCTTCATCCCCTGAAGAAAAATTCCATTTCCACCTTGAGCTACACTGAAAATGGTCAATTAGACTGCACCAAATCTAGAAGATGGGATAAAATGGGATTAGACAATTCCAAGCTTTTGTCGAGTACCTTGAGTTGTGAATCGCACTTGGGTGTCTACCACTGATCACGCAGGAGTGAAGGAAAGTTCTTTGTGTAGAAACACTTCCATTGCTATGATATATACAACCTCGTTTTATTGTGAACTCATTCAACATCTTTTCAATTCATTTTTAATATATGGTACATAGCAAAGATTATTATTTAGAGTCTGCAAGCAATTCATTCAACACCATACACTAAAAGTAGTTGACTGCAGTTGTCTTGAATCTCAAAAGACCATGAAACAATAACCCTCCAGTAATATCCGGAAACAACTTTCCACAGATTCAAGCTGGAGGGAAGTGATCTCTGCTTATTCGTTTTACATATTAAAATATGGCAATACACAGAAGTGAAAATATTGCAAGGAATGTTGCAGTTCTCAGTCTGAATAGCAGCTGTTTTTGTTGGGCAAGATGCAAAGGAAGATATAGCTTTACAGTACTAATTATATTATTCACCCTCACTTATATGAAAAACGCCCTATTTTGGTTTTTATTTGTATGGTGTTATAATGTAAAATTGGCCTATCTCAGAGCTGAGAGATGTGCTGGAATTGGTGGAACCTGACAAATAGCAAGCTTGAATTATTTTCCTAGGCAGAACGTGCCCGGTTCTGTTTGGAATCTTTTTGTACTTCTTTCTGAACCACCTGTGCTGGTGGTCTGCTCCACTCGTCCATCACATTATACCTTACACCCTGCTCATCTAATCCCAGACAATCTAGGCAAAGATTGACAACAGCCGAGGCTCAGGATCCCTGCGGTATTCATTGGGGTACTGCTGGAGGTTCACTAGATACAATTACAAACATCGGCTGGCAAGCTTCCCTCTGCCTTCAGCTACTATAATAATAATAATAATAATCATCCTTGCATTTTATATAGCGTCTTATCACATCTTCTAGACTTCTCAAAGTGCTTCACAGAATATACTGTAAAGTGAATTGACTGTATATTGTGTGGGCGAAATGCGGCAGCCAATTGGGCACAGCAGTGTCCCACTAACAGTCGTAGATTGAGTGACCAAATTATTTTTGTTTATTTATTTATTGATTTACTACCACCTTACCCATTAGGAGTTAAGCTTCTGGGTTAACAGGAGCTGAGTGGGAAGAATTCTGGTTCTCAATAACTGGTCTGCTCCTGTATCCTGTGCAAAAGCCAGAGAGACCTATTTCTGCACTTGCAAACTGCCACTTGAGGCTTAGTGTTGAATGAATTTTGTACAGACTATAAATAATAACCTTTGCTATACACTATATATCAGAAAGAAATCCATTCAACGTTAGATTCTTTCAGGTGGCAATATGATGTAAAATGCTTGTTTGTGATAACTGTACTCAATGGGTAGTTTCCAAGGCTGTTATTTTCTGTTTTTCCACATGATGGCGCCAACAACCAACATGTGCATTCCTCATTTCATGAGATTTCAATTTAAATTTACATAACTGTGTTTCCCTACAAAACTAAACAAAGTTTTCTCCCACAACATAAAAATGTAATGTTTAGTGGACTATGCGTAAAGTCATTTTTCAAAACTTTGTCTGAAACATGATAAACATTGATCATCATATTGGTCCCACTTCGCCCCCTCACTCCCCGCTTTCAAGACACAATTTAAGATATATTTCATCGGCCAAACCTTCCTCGCACTCCCAGTCAGCTATGTGAAGTGTTTCGTGACATTCCAGCGCCTTGGGACGTCCTCCCAATGTGAAAGGTGCTATACAAATGCAATTTTTTTGTTGTTCTCCTGGTGTGAAAGGTGCAATATAAATGTAAATTATTATTTAATGTTAAGACTATCTAATGAAACAGGATTGAATCACAACCAAGAATAGTACATTTTTTTTAAGCCAGGACTCAAATTTCTGACTTAAATCTAAGATTAAAATTGCCTGTGACATTGAGAGAAAGGAATGCTTTCACAACTTAATGTGCAGTTTTATCTGTTTTTCTTCTTCACTATACTGGTAATGTTGTCTAGCCCCAAATCAGGTGCTTTTTTTCTGAAAATACATGCATTCAGCAAAACTGCCTTTTGTAGGCACAGGGCCAGTCATTCAGTTTCATCCCTCTAACCTCAACCCAGCTTGTTACCAAATTTCAATGGAATTGTAATAAACTCTTTCAACACATTTTAAATGAACTCTTTTTGGTAAAGACGTTAATTTATCCTGACTTTTTGATCTATAAGGCGTCTTATTAAATGCAAGTTTTACGAGGATAAAAATAATGCATTTGCTATAGTGCTTTATCATGTTGAAATATTTCAAATCTCATCACAGAGATTCGAAATATTTTTCTGTTGAGAGTAGTGACTGTGTATTTGTAGTAGAATGCTGTAGTCAATTTGCACATAGTAATGTCCCAGAGATACCAAGAAAAACTCCTCTGAATAAGCAGACAAACTTTGTCATCTGATAATGCTGTGCTTCCCTGCGCCTAAGCTCAAGTCATCGATTGGGACTTAAACTTACAATCTTCTGATCCAGAGGTGCTAGCACTAACCACTGAGCCAAGCTGACATGTCATTTATTATCATTTATGTGACTTGCTGACCCCGCAAGTAAACTGCCTCTGCTCGACTGGCTCCGGTCTTCTGCTTGTCCCTCGTGCCCTCCGTTCCACCATTGATGACCGCGCTTTCAACTACTATGCCCGGAAACTCTGGAACAGTTTTCCTCTATTCCTCCTCCTTGCCCCTTCCTTCCCCATCTTCAGGCCGTGCCTGAAGACCTTCCCCTTCAACCGTGCCTACAGTCGCCTCTAACTATCCCCGGCTCGACGTCGTGCTCCGCCATTCTTGAGTGCTCGGGGTTGCTACTCTGCATAAGAGGAGCTATATAAATGCTTAAATTGTTGTTTGTTGCCCCTGTCCCAAATCAGCAGAGCAGTAAAATCTAGAGGACCATACCGTTTCCCCAGGGTTTCTTCTATTTCTTTGACCACACCTATAGTCATTACACTCTCCCCCTTCTTCCTTGTTCGAGGTCAAACCCTACCACTGTACAGAGCTTCAAGATGGTATACTATGTGAAAGGCACTCTATAAATGTAAATTATTTTGTTATTGTCAGGAGGATCCAATGTCATTGGCACGTCCTGCGCATGGTACAGATACACAGCACAGAGGAAGGAACATTGGTGATAACCTCACAACCCAGAAGTCAACCAATATTTAGAAAGGGAAACTGTCAGTGCAATAAGCTATGTGTGCCTGTGTTTAAAATGGAGTTCCCTTATATACTCTAGGATTTATTGAAAAATTACAGGTTGAATAACAAAAATAACTGCAGATTTATTTTTAGATATCTTAATTATAAAAGGCTAGAAACATCCTGAGTTTAAGTCAGAGAAAGAAAAATCTGTTGTTTTTATTAATTAAACATTATCAAGCCTGTTATCAAGTACAATTTCTTAAAATCCACATAATCATTTATTTTTACTCTTCCAGATTGACAAAAATAGGACTTACCTACGGGAAATAAAAAGGGGAAATATTTACATCATTTCATTTCTCCAATATTTTCCTGTAATACAAGGTGCTAAAGCAATTGCTCTCAAGTTACAAAAATAATTATTGCACCACTAAAATAACTGATGAGCAGAAGCCCAGTGTATTTTGCTGCAGTGTTTAATTGTTTTTATTACCTTATGTTTTCTTGCAGTGATATTATCATATATCAACCTTATGAACGCACCCAAATTAAGAAGAGTGATATCCGTTCTGAAGATCAATTGTAAGTTTTACGACTTCACATTGTGAAATACTTTTGAGAAACAAAATGTAAAATAGTTTTTCTAAGTTGGGTATTTTGTGTTTCAGACAAATAAAGCAACCTTCCATTTTAAGTCTGGTTCTTCCAGGCCACATATAGTATCATGTCAGCCTCTGAATCAAACTCTAAGGGTTCAAGCCCTATATCAGGTCTTCAAACTCACCATCTAGGCTGACACTTCAATGCAGTGCTGGGGGTGCTGCACTGTTGGAGGTTCTATGTTTTGGATAAGATGTTAAGCATCAGTGTCTGTTCAGGTGGACCTTAAAGATCCCATGGCACTATTCGGAATAAAGAAGGGAGTTTCTCCTTTTGCCCCGGCCAACCATCCCCCAAATACAATTGGTCATTCACTTCTGGCTGTTGATGAGACATTGCTGTGCGCAAATTGGCTGCAATGTGTACAAATACACATTCACTTTATGATAAATCCTGTGCGGCTTTGAGATGTGTTAACAATGTGAATGAGGAGTTACATCAAATGCAGGGATTAAAAGCAGGAATGTGATTCATGATAAAGCCACCTGGATTCCACTCCAACACTGTGTTTTAATCACCACCTCAGAATAGCACCACTTCCTGCGTCTCATGACGTTTCCATTCCTCATACTAAATGAAATTTTAACTTATCCTGAATTGAACCAACCAAGTGTTGTAAAGATATTGAACACAACATTGTTGCTTCTTTTTAATTATTACGTGAATAGTGTTCAGTGTTTTTTTTTTGGTCAGCCAGGTGTCAGACGCACACGGAAACTCATCACCATGCTTAATATTATCCAAAACCAAATTGAGTGGCATGGAAATTCCTGTGTATCAGAATAGAACACCTCCAAGTCTGGTTTGGGGTACTGCTGGAGTTTAATCAACTAAAATCACATAGCTTGCCATTGAAATCGCTCTCTGGCAAGCTTTCCCACTGCTTGAACATCTAGGACCATTGTACTCATTAGGGCTTTGGCTTAGAGAGTTAACAGGAGCTGAGTGGAAAGTCTGACCCTTCAAGTCTTCTGCTGAGCCAGGCTGGCCGGTATTTCATCAGAGTTGCCTTAGAGTACTACGGACCCGCCTGGCTCAAAAACTGGGCTACTGAAACTGCCACAGGGAGCGTACAGTTTTACACATAATATACATTAAAAGTGCCTTCAAGATGTTGATTAACAACCATTGACTTATTCTTTATTATTATGATTACTATATCTGCTGAAAACATTTAATTCTTACTTACATTTTTGGGGTTTTAGGCTTCCAAAACCTCCTAATATCACAATGAAGTAAGTAAACCTGCTTTGCTCAACATTTCTCTGTTTCTATGTATTCAATCATTGCATATAGCACATTGCTGGTAATTTTAAATCAAGCTACCCATTGCACTTCACTGCAAATAGCATGAAAATGCTAAAGATATGGATTTGCTTTGGAAGACATGATTTTTTGTTATCAGATTATGAATTCCTAAAAATATCAGAAGAAAAGAATAAAGCCACCAAAGTTTATCCCTTTGGTCCATTAAATTTCCTGTTATGGTACCTAGAATTATTTATTTTAATACATTTTACTGTATCTAATTATTTTGATACTTTTGGTGTTGGCATGTGTCTCTGCTCCTAGCCACCATGCACTCATTTATTCTCTGGTATCTTGCCCAAGTTGACATTATTTATGTATGAGTGGAGGATGCTGTACAATGACCAGAAGAAACCATGGCTACCTTTGCTCTCCCTAACCTTGGTAATGCCAGGACCAATTTTGCCTCTCTGCTGAGACCATTGAACTCAGCACAGACCACGATTCAAACCAGCAACCCTTGCCCCCTCCTTCCCCTCTTGAAACCTATTTTATCAATCATGCTTTCAGTCACCTAACCCTCCCCCCGACCTCACCATCAGCACCATCTCCACCCCCTTAGCTCCCCAAGCTCAGGCTCATAGTTAGCTGTTGGTGAGATGTCCTCCCAAAAGGAAGAGCACTATATAAATGTGAATTGTTGTTGTAGATTATTTCAAATAATTACAATTATTTAAATAAAGACATTTTTGCTAATAGCCATCCTAAATGTTACTTTTTCTTAATTAATCTCCTCTGGTCCTAATGATGTAATTTACTTAAAGTTGATCTGCTCAATAACTTTCCTAATCTTGTTTGGATTTGTTAATGTTAAACTTCTTTACAGTATGTCTTCTAGTTCTGTATTCATTGCATTCTTAAAATCAAGTCACCTGCATCATCTATGCCTCTTATTGTTCCTTTGTTTTTAGCCAGAACCAGATACACTTGACATTTCCAGCCGAACATCCCTATACTTCCCACATAAACAAATATGCAATGTTTCCTAAATTCACTTCACCAGATGATCCATACACTGGTGTGCGAGGTGGAAATCAACAGCCCATTACTCCGAATATGCCGGCAAGACCTTACACTATGACTGTGAATAAAAAAATTAGAGGTAAATGTATGCATTCATGAAAGTAGTTTAAAGAAAATGTAATTACTGCTTTTCAACCTGCTTTTATCTTTCTTTTTAACTCTCAGAAATTCTTCTTAGTAAATTACAGCTGTAATTTCTTCCCAAGGGTTTGAAACAGTCAACTCAAGCATGCGTCTAAAATTGTACCACTGACTAACCAGTCATTCCCAATAACACATGTTAGGATTAACACTCAGTTCAAGGTACTATGCTGACAGTGTTCCAGCAAAATCAGGCAACCCCATTGACCCTTATAAAACAAGATTAAATCTCCTGCAAAGGAGATTCACAAGGATGATCCAGAACTGAGAGGTTAAACCTATCAGGGAAGGCTGAACATGCTTGGACTCATCTCTTGAAAAGAGGAGGGTAAGAGGTGACTTGATAGAGGTTGTTAAAATGATGAAAGGTTTTGATAGGGTAGACATAGGGAAGATGTTTCAACTTTGGGAGAAACCAAAACCAGGGGCCATCAAAATAAAATTGTCACAAATAGATCAAATAGAGAAATTAGAAGAAATTTCTTCACACAAAGAGTAGTGGGAATGTGGAACATGCTATCACAAGGAGTTGTTGAGGCAAATAGTATAGATGTATTTAAGGGAAAGCTAGATAGGGACATAAGTGAGAAAGAAATAGAAGGTTATGCTTGAAGGCTTAGTTGAGGAAGAGCGGGAAGAGGTTCATGTGGAGCATAAACACTGGCATAGACCAGTTGGGCCGAATGGCCTGTTTCTGTGCTGTATATTCTAATGTATTCTAATGTAAGATCCACCCTGTTTTTGTAATGCTTAATCATTGGATAGTCTGTTGATTGGTACCAAATGACATGGTCCTTGGGGATTTGACATGAAAATCTATACAAATTGGCACAAGATGTGTATAAATACAATCATGTATCACTCTTTCTCTGACACTTGCCCTGGCCAAGGCTCTGTCCTAAGTAATTGGTAACTTAACTACCCATTATATTTGGTCAATCTGACACATCTTTTACCTTGATTAAGAATTGCTGTTTCAACCACTGAAAAATCCAGAACCAAGTTTCCATTTGTCAGTCTACTCTCCCTTAGATACAAACTCTTCTTCCTTACTTGTGCTTGGAAGTATAGGCATAGGTTGGCAAAAACCAAGGCATTGGGGACTCACAGTGCACATTAATTATTATATTCAGTTGCTGAATAAAATATTCCCTCAAGACCTATTGGACTATTAAAGATTTTCTTTCAAGAGTGCTACTATGCCTTGTGCATTTCTATTCAAGATGCAGATTAATGTTAACAGTTCATCAGCTACCACATTAGAAATGAAAAGACCTTGCAGCTCGATCCGCAGTCATTGATTAGAATAAGTAGCCAAGGGTACAATTTTTACTTTTTAATTGTTGTATTTAAATTTTTAAACTAATTGTAGTCAGACAAGTAAACACTGGATAGAAAGTGATTGTGTGAAATGCAGTATGAATTTACATTATGCCAGATTGAAGGAAATGTACATATTAATAATAATAATATTCCTTGCATTTGGTATAGCACTTATCACATCTTCTAGGCGTCTCAAAGCACTTCATAGAATATACTGTAAAGTATGTTTTGTGGGCGAAACATGGCAGCCAATTACTCACAGTAGTGTCTCACAAACAGTTGTGGATTAAGTGACTATTATTATCCTTTTTTGGAATGGAAGTTACACTGAATTATAATCTGGTCCAAGAATGGAAATCTTTGAAATTCATCAGCACAAAAATCTAGGTGACCTAAGAGAGCGCGGCATGAAATGAGTCTGGACAGATTCACTCGGGCTCCTCGTGAGTGAGCCACGCAGGACACAACTGGCAATGTGATTAAGATAAGCCAAGTGCCTTGCTGGTGTGGGAAATTCATACTAACGCGGTGTGTGTTTGTGTGCTGTGGGTCGTTTTGTTTTGAACTCAATGTAAATTGGAGTGAGTGAGATGGCAAAAGTACAAGTGCTATGTCTTTGAGTACTTGGTGGTAGATCCTCAAAAGAAGGGAGAATATTCTGTCCTACTCATGGAACTATTCAACCAAAATTATGTAAAAAATAGTCATCAATAATTATATAAAACATAGTCATCAATAAGTAATCCTTGGAAGTAAAAATTTGTTTTTTTCTCCCCAACTTGAGAAGAAAGAACTAAAAAGCTAAACAGCAGCAAATGACTATGCCAGATAATATGCTGGCAAACCTTCTACTCAAAATACACCGTTTTACTTTACCATATAAGATACAACAGGAAGACAGTGCACATTCCATTCCATATGCACTGAAACTTCCACATGTAAGTGGCATACATATTTGCATACATGAGGGAGAAGGAGACAGAGGGATACAGATGAGAATAGGAGTGGGGTGTAACATGCAAATATAACACCCACACAGACTAGTTGGACCAAATGACTTATTTCCATTCCAACAAATTAAAACTATGCAACCACCCAGTTGAAAGATTTCTGTAGCTGGTACAGAATAGGTTAGTCTATTTGTTAGAGAATGGCTTACAAACCTTTCGGGAGAAGAATCACCCTCCCTCCCCAAGCTGCTACCCCTCCCTCCATTGAGGCGTAATCTACATCGTGAAATATTGCAGAGCCATTAAAATCTGTGAATCCTCTTAGAATTGATCAATGCTCCACTCCCTTCAGCAGGTGAGTTGCTTCAGAGATACCTTGATTCCAGAGAGCCTCTGATCATTCCTTCCCTCCCCACCCCCCATCACCCTGAGGATATTCACAGATTGGTCAACAGACAAGTGATACTCAAGCTTGTTCACTGTAACCCCTGCCGAATGGTATGGAGTGCAAAACAACTCAAAATGTGAGAGTATTGCACTGTCCTACAGAAGCAATACTATTTGTTGATTCTTTCAGGTGATTAGCAGACTGCTCTTTCACCTTTGGTATGAGCATCTTTCTGTCTGATTGCAAGTGCCCTAAGTAAAATGATTTTGCATAGACCTTTTACAGTTTCCACACAATTTAATACCTGGAATTTGTGTTTAATTGGAAATGTGACTACAATGGGTCCATTGACTACAAAGATGATTGCTGTGAGAAATAGAAATATCACATTGGTGCAGAGGAGGAGTTTTCAACAGTGCAGAATTGAGTGTGCTTTGAGCTCTCTGTTCTGTACTTACTGAGTATGTTTAATAGTGACACAAGGGCCGGAAATTACAAAATAATCTACTTCCCATACTTGTATCCCTTGTTTTTTCGAACACAAACATTTAATAAAAGATTCCTCTCCCCCACTACCTCCCCACGCACTTAAAATAGAATACTAATGGCATCCCCAGGGAACTGATAACATTGTACTAATAATCAGGACATCCAATAATTCTCGTAGTATAATACATGAAAGCTGAATACCATCATTAACATCGGGCGCTCCCACACTCTGTATATTAATTCTTTCATACAGCTGGGCTTAGTACAAATCATTCCTCCAATGATTCTATCAGCAGCAAACAAATGAAAACCCAAATGGAAAGAAATTAAAGAATGTCAAAGTAGATGTGGATCATTGACTATTTCATTCTTTAAATGAAGGCCTGATGGTGGGAATGCCTTTTTGATTATAATGTTCAGTTGTATGGATGACACCAACATTGATTTCAAAATGCTTTCACTCCTAAACCTCACAGGATCTGCATACAGGCACGAAATCCAGGAAATCCCCTTTGCATCTCAACAGAAGGGTTTACACTGGCCCGGGGAATATGGATTTTATCATGTAAGTGCTCGTACTGTAAGAATACAAAATGCGTTTGCTAGAGGAAAATAATCATAAACAACAGCTTTATAAATGATCTCTTCAAACTGTATTGTTGATCTTTAATCCTTATAAAGGATCATTTTCTCAGGTTAACCATTAATATTAGTTAAAGGCATATTCCCCAGGCTTTGGTTAATAATGGATATCAGGTCAACTGTCATTTTTCAACCTCAAGTTTACTGATCCAACCCAACACCTCTTGCTGTCCCAAGGAAAGATCTTAAATGTCGTATTGCATTTCGTCCTCTTAGTTTTCACTGTTTGCAATGTGTATGGTGGCTCAATATAATGTTATTTTTTCTGGATATCCGAGAAAAACTCCTGCAGTGTAATAATTGCTTGTTCGCTCATACAAAGAATTGAAGGTTACTAATCTTAGCAATTGCTTGAATAATCCAAACCAAAAAGGTAAGGGATGGATTAAACTTTTCTTTCTGATACGTTGATCTGATTAGCTTCCAAACTAAATGTTGTCAATCACACCTGAAGACTTTCCTCCCTCCCATTACAGCTTGGAGTTAAACCACACCGCTGTTAAGCTCTTTGAGACTCACTCACTAAACTCACTCTTTGTTTTCTTATTGACATGAAATAATTACCCTCCAGTTACTGACTTGCCAACCAGTTGAAATAGTTTTGCTAAGGGAGATGGTGGAAGCAGAAAGTCTTCATTCTTTCAAAAGAAAGTTAGATATTTCTTTTAGGAAATAATATCGTGAGGCATGACATGTCTATGCGACTGTCAGAATGGCGGAAGGTGAACTGGATCAACCTTGGTCTTCTTTCGTCTAGCAAATTCTTATGTTCTTATGTGGTGTATTTATCTTCAGAAGATCAGGTAAGTATAGCGTGTACAATGACCAAAGATATGTATGACACATATGTATATTTTTTCCTAGATAATCAATGTTACAATATTTTGCACCTTACTGTTAGGATTTGTTTTTTGATATTGGCTTTTGATATACAATACAACCCGACAGATAGTTTATTCTTTCATTGCAGTATCCAAAATCAGCTCCAGGATATTCCCAAATGTACTACCCCACACCACCAAAGGCTATAGCTCCGAACAATTTGTTGCGGCCAATGGAAGTTACCGTGACTGAGAGAACAGCTAATATACTGAAAAACATAGAAAAAGCACAATGGCTATCCACATACATGCGGGATTATACAGGTAGGTTAACATCATTGACAGTTGCTGCCACATAAATCATTACTGTTCTTAAAAAAGGTCCTTACATTTTAATTACAAATAGCATAATGTTTTATATACTACAACAAGCGATATTCTTTAGATTTAAGCATGAACTGTTCCATCATCAAATCTTACATTTGTATCTTTATAAATAGGCAATGGATCAATGAATCCTATTGAATTGGATGATTACCATGAAAAAGTAATTGCAGAATTGGCAGGAAGAAGCAACTATTTCGAATCAGAACTAGTGAGTAAATTGTAAATTCAAGCATTTGTCATTCAAGTGGCACTGTAAACTTTTACACACTATTGTGTGTGCATAAACATAGATATACCTGATCTCTGTAAACAAATTGCTATGTCCACTGTCCAGGTGCCAGCATGCTAAGAACCAGCATGCATTTCTTGGACTTTAGTTAGTGAGAATATATTACATCAAAATCAAAAATCATCATTACTCACGGTCACGCTTGCTCCATTAGGAAATGACTAAATTGTATCATGTTGATCCTAAACAACAAATCTTTGATCTGGAATCCTCTCCCTTCAATGTAAACCCTCCCCAGACCCTTTTATCTATGCAAGTCCTTTTTCTAATTCCCATGTTTTTCTGCTTCGTAATACAAAAATGAGAAGCAGAGCCCAATCATCATTTTAAAGTCAATTAACAAATAAGATGAAATGATAGTGGACTGACTGAGGCCATGTGTTTCCCATCTATTAGTGATAGAACCTCACCAAAAAGTAGGTGGAGCTTCCAATTCCCAGACCTCAATTCCAACCACAGACCTAAACAAAATAGCCACAGATCAAACAGACATGTTGAAGTGAAAGGGGAAAGCTGCCATCAATGAACAATGCCATTTGTTTTACCCCAATTGGGGAATAGCTGTAGCCATCATTTATTATAACAATTTGCTTGCATCCGTCATGTGTCAGAAGCAAAGAAAGTCCTCACCACCAACCAATTATCACATATGCACAACTTTAAGATTTTGGATCATTAATTTATAGAAGAGAGATTTCGGAACACAAAAAGAGATTAGATCTAAAAAGGAAAACTCCAGGATAGTTGCTTTCCAAACCCATTATATTCACTCCAATAGCCTTCCCCAGTAACTTTAGTCCACAGGTTTGTTACCCTTTGTATGATTAAAAGTCCCACCTGAAGCACTTCCTTACAGCCTGGCTTCCTGATGTGAGAGACCAATCCAATGTAGTAAAATGGTAACTTCAGAACAACTTTGTTGCTCACAGCTATCAGTCCAAGTACACCACTCCAGCAACTAGGATAAAATAAACCCACATAAAGTGCAATACAGTTACATTTGTATAGCGTCTTTCGCATCAGGAGGATGTCGTAAGGCGCTGGACAGTCAGGGATTTGGACCCAAGCTGGGGGTCGGATTCTGGAAGGGTGGTGGGCGGGGAGCTTAGGAGAATGGCCGAAGGCTCGGTCGAAGAGGAGGGTTGGAGGCATGCCTTGAAGGAGGCAAGGGGTGAGATGAAGGGAATGTGGGATGGAGTTCCATAGGATGGGGGCAGAGAGGCTGAAGGCCTTGCCGCTGATAGTGAGGCTGACCGGGTGGGAGACGTGGGACAGGCCACAGCCTGCTGAGCAGAGGGAGCAGACAGATTGATGTGGGGTCAGCATGTCACAGGTGGGGAGGAGAAAGACCATGGATGGCTTTGAAGATGAGGATAAGGATTCTGGGGGATGCAGAGCCAGTGGAGCTGATGGGGTCATCGAGCCTGGTGCGGGAGAGGACATGAGCTACAGAGTTCTGGATGATCTGCAGCTTGTGGAGCGAAGAGTTTGGAAGGCCGACAAGCAAGGAGTTGGCATATTCGAGCCTAGATGTGATGAATGCGCATATGAGGGTTTCGGCAGCCAGAGGGGTGAGGCAGTGCCAGAGCCAGACAATGTTGTGGAAGTGGGGGAAGGCAGAGCGGGTCATGGCACGGATGTGGGGTAGAAAGGATAGTTGAGTGTCAAACAAGACACCAAGGTTCCGGACCGGCTTAGAAAGGTGGAGTGTGCAACCATGGAGGGTGATGCTGTCAGCGCCTGAGGTGAGGAGGCGCTGACGGAAGCCAATCAGGAGAACCTCGGTCTTGTTGACGTTCAACTGTAGAAAGTTATCTCTCATCCAGGACTCAATGTCTGACAGACATTCTGTCAGGACAGCAGTGGTCCTAGAGTCAGGGTGGAGGCAGAGAAGTAGAGTTGGGTGACATCCACGTTGACCCCATGTCTGGATGATGTTACCAAGGGGGAGGGTATAGATATTGAAGAGAAGGGGACCAAGGACAGAGACCTGAGGAACGCTGCACGAGACAGTGCAGGGGCTAGAGGAGAAGCCATTTATGGTGATGAAGTGGAGACGGTGTGAGAAGTACAATCTGAAACATTCAAGGACAGAACCATGAAGGTTGAGAGGAGAGGCAATGGAGGAGGATAGAGTAGCAACGGTATTGAAGGCAGCAGAGAGGTCAAGGAGGACGAGAAGGCAGAGGGAGCCCTGGTCACAGATGGAAAAAATGTCATCTGTCACTCACCAACCCAACGGAAGCAGGGAAAATAGCACTTTAAATATGAGCCAGTACAATACCTTGCCTTTAATGGGTTTGATTGCCTGTTTAAATGATTGGGGCAAAAATAATATCAACAAATTGGGGGGAAATCCTGAGTAGTTTAACAATAGCTTGACAGTAAGGCTCGAATAGAATCCAAAATTACTCTGGCACCATGCTGAGGAACACAGTTGCAATTACAATTGCCTTCCTTGTGTCTCAATCTAAGTGATTCTACCAAAGGGTTTGCTCACTTTGTTTCATCTATCAAAGATTTTAATTGGAGGTTTTTTACCCTCATCCCATGAAAAATAGAATCCACTACAAAATACATAGTCATTACGTTTTGGAGTAAATCCTGTGATATGCTTTAAAATATCCACTGGACATGAAAAGGTGCTATATATATGCAAGGATTATTATAATTATATTATAATTATTAAAATCTAAATACAATTGGAAAATGGTGTACAGCATACTAAGGATTGAGCACTCTGCTCATTGATTTGCTGTTTATCAATCTCTAAAATTTCTTCCCAACAGAGAGAACAGTCTCATCCAACTTTTATACCTAATCCACCTTTGAGGCCCAAGAGGAAAAAAATGACGATAGCTAGTGAAACCAGTGCTCAGTGCGGCGGTTTCCCTCCTACTCCAGTAAAGAAGCCAGAGCCTAAGCCTATTATACATTCACCAAAACCCATGTATGATGATAGCACAAAATCACAGTGTATTCAAACAAAGTTATGTATAGATAAAGAAAAAGCAGGCTGCAACCCAAGTATGTGCATGAACGGAACATCTCGACCAACCAGTAACTGCATACAATCAAATCCCTTCTCTGATATCTGTATGTTAAGGTACAAAGTCAACCAAGTGAGGGGATGGGAAGAGCCCTGTGCATTTTATCAGCATCAAAGAGAAAGGATGATGGAAGGATGCACAACGCCAAATAGGAACTTAGTACCATTGAATTCAGTTTGCAGATCGTGCAACATACAACATTGGCCACACTGTGATCATCAAACAATAGAAAATAAAGTACCTTCTATTGATATCAGTTATGAGGATTTACCACAAAGTAGGCTGCAAGATTACACAGCCAAAGGCAAACCCTATTTTCTGAACAAGCCACCTTCATCAGAAGAAATCCAGCGCACTAAAATTATAATAAACAGACAAGCCATGCATGACAGTAATGAATACAACCCTGGTTCTGGTGATAATCAGCCATTAACTGACTGTTATCATATACAAGGATACTCAGCAATGGAAAAAGAAAGGATTTTGAATTGTGATAGATGTCATCTTCTGACATCACACCTCAAACAACCGTTCAGCAAAACAGAAGCACATAATCGTTACCTCAAAGCAAATGAACAAAGAACATTGGATCCTCGAGACAATGTTCATTCAGGGAGGAAGCACACTTTTCATGGCATTAGCAGCTATTACTTGTAGTAACTAAATTGTTCACATAATAAGTCGACTCTTTGCAACATTAAGCATAACAATGTTTTGTATAGAGCACTTTTTATCTGCAGTTTTCCTGCATGGATGGGAATTTCAAAACAGACTACATTTTATAAATGGGCATCAATTTCATCACATGATACTAAGAAATTTCCAATAAACTGTATGTCAGTAATTTGACCAGCAAATTAAACCATTGTGAAACTATTTTCTTTTGGATATAAAGCACCAGACTTGTGCAACACTTTATTGCTTTGTATATTTCATCTGAAAAGGTAGTTCTATCTTAAGTATTTTCTTTTACTGTTAAGTGTATAAAATAATGTATAATATTAAAGTGTGTTCACCAAATCTTAATGGTTACAAAGCTTGATATCTGTGTACTTACTATGCACTGGACACCGTACTTTGCAGTTTTGGGCTGCAAGTGAGAGGCAGATTAGAATTTTGTATGAATCTGCTCCCAGATGTGACAACTGAAGTCCTGGTTCACTGACCTTCTTACTGAATAGCCGGCACCACCCTCAACTCAGTTTCAATTTATGATAATAATAATAATAATAATAATCTGGCAAAGGAAACAAGGGTGCTTTTCCCTTTGCTTTTGAAAAGAAAAAAATACAGCAATGTGAGTGTCAGTTGAGGACAGGATTAAAACCATCTGTCCCTTACAGATACCTAGTTTACCAGCATTCGTTGATGTTTGCTGTAAGATACCAGAGGGAAGTTAGTGCCCGTGGAATCCCATTCCAGCTCTTTCCTTCAGATGAGACATTCTTATCTGGCTGTTCAGGTGAATGTTAAAGATCCTGTGGCACTATTCAAAAAAGAGAAGGGAGTTTCTCCCAGTGTCCTGACCAACAATCCCCAAATAAAATTGGCCATTAATTTGTGGCTGTTTGTGGGACATTGCTGTGCGCAATTGAGCTGCCGCATTCACCTACAAATATACAATCACTTCACAGTAACTCCTTAATGTGGGAATGTCCTCACAAAATGCAAGATTTTAAACAACTCTCTCCCAAGTTAGTCAATTTCACCATGCAGAAAAACTGTTCAGAAGTCTACATAGAAAGTTAATTCAGTGAGACTATCCAACAGAACAAGTTTAATCAGCTATTAAACAGCACCTGGACAGAAAGCCAGCAATGTAGGCAGTATATAAACATTGCAGTTAAGATCTATAGGCTCACAATTGTGTAATTCTACAAAGATTCAGTGGTGTTATCCAGGCTCAATATTTTAATCTAGTTTAATATAGTGAATGGAGCCAGTAATCACAGGGGAAGATGTACATCAGAAATCCTTTCTTGTTGATTTTACACGTATCTTGCACACAAGCTAGTTTATCCTGTGTAGTACTTTCTCAGATGTCCTCCCAAAGAGAGACACTATATAAACTATAAGGATTATTACTATTATCAAGTTATAGCTTCAGTGCAACATTTGTCATGTCTAGCTTCCATCTGACCTGATTATCTCACTGTGATCAATGTCAATTCCCTGCAGTTTTTTATTGCCCCATTTAAATTTATAAGTCCATGCACTTCATTGTATCATTCACACACTGCTGGGTCAAAGATCCTATCTCTGAAGATGGGTCACTGCCAAATCAGATAGGATATTCCCCTGTCAACTCATAATCTAGCCTTATCCAATGCCAGGGAAGGGCTCCATTGTCAGAGTCATGTCCTTCAGCGATTATGTCCCATCCACCTGGTGGATATTAAAGACCCCAGGGCACTATTCAAAAAGTGGGTGGGGACAAGGGGTGAGGGGGTGGGAGGCAAGGGGCTGGGGATGAGCAGGTGGGGCAAGAGAGGGGAAAAGGTGATCTAAAGCATGATCAAAAGGGTACATTTTGAGATGTGCCTTGAAGGGAATGAGCAAATCAGAGCAGGGCAGAATGGCTGAAAGCCCTTTGGCAGTGCTTTCAGCCACTGCTCCAAGCTCCCTCCCAGCTCAGGCTCACCTTCAATAAGACATTCTCCAAAGTGAAAGGTGTTCTACATGTGTAAATTGTTGCTTTTGTAGGTAAACACATCACCCATTTGTGTACAACTACGACCCGCAAACAACGATAAGGTACTGGGACATTATAGTTTTTTAGCAAGAACCAGTGTTAAAGATACAGAGAAGGGACGTTAAATGAAGTGGTTGATGGAGCAGAGATTTTAGGGTTTTATTGTACTTCAGGGTGATCCTGGAGTAACAGGAAAGATGGCTTCACAGATGGAGAGCAAAGCTGTATGCTTGACAGTATCTTAGAAATACCTTATAAATAAATAATCTTTGCATTTGAAATAGCATCTTATCACATCATCGAGAAATCTCAAAACGCTTCACAGGATATACTGTAAAATTAATTGACTGTGTTTTGTGGGAGAAATACAGCAGCCAGATTGCGCACAGCAATGTCCCACAAACAGCCATGAAGTGAACAACCAATTTTATTTGGGATATTGTCAGCCAGGACACTGGGAAGAGAGAAACTCTCTAGTCTTTTTGAATAGCACCTTGGATTATTTAAAGTCCACCTGGACAGGCAGATGGGACCTTCCTTGGTTTAATGTCTCATCCAAAGAACTGTACCTCCAACAATGCAACTGCATTGGAGGGTCAGTTCAGGCCAGTGGTGGTTGGCCTGACACAGGGCTGGAAACCACAACCTTTTGACTCAAAGGCAGGAGTGCTACCACTGAGGCAGTCTGGCACGCATGACTCTCTCAACAACAACAACAAGATTGTATTTATAGAGCGCCTTTCACGTCAGGAGGACGTCCCAAGGCGCTGGACAGTTGGGTTGGGACCCGAGTAGGGGGGAACTGGTCAGGGTGAGGGGAGGGAGGGATGAGGAGGGGAAGAGAGTTGAGAGGGGAGGTGAAGGCACGGTTGAAGAGAAAGGTTTTGAGACCGGCCTTGAAGGAGGAAAGGGAGGAAGCAAGGCGAAGGCACTGGGGGATGGAGTTCCAGAGCCTAGGAGCTGAGAGGCTGAAAGTCCGGCCACCGATGGTAGGGCAGTTAGGGCGGGGGATGTGGAGCAGACCGGAGCCAGGGGAACAGTGGGTACAGGCAGGTAGATAGGTCGGAGAGGTAGGAGGGTGCAAGGCCGTGAATAGCCTTGTAGGTGAGGATGAGGATCTTGAATTCGATCCTCTGGGGGATGGGAAGCCAGTGGAGGCGAGCGAGGGTGGGAGTGATGTGGTCCCGAAGTCTGGTGCGGGACCGTACATGAGCTGCAGAGTTCTGAATGACCTGCAGCTTGTGGAGGGAGGTGCCGGGAAGACCGACGAGGAGGGAGTTCCCGTAGTCCAGCCTTGAGGTGATAAAGGCGTGGACCAGAGTTTCAGCAGTGTGAGGGGTGAGGTAGTGCCGTAGTCTGGTGATGTTCCGGAGGTGGTGGAAGGCGGTGCCAGTTGTGGCGCAGATGTGAGGAAGAAAGTACAGCTCAGGGTCGAACAGAACGCCGAGGTTCCTGACTGGCTTTGAGAGGTGGAGAGTGCAGCCTTGGATGCTGATGCTGTCAGCGCCTGAGGTGCGGAGGCGCTGACGTGAGCCAATCAGGAGGGCCTCAGTTTTGCGCACGTTGAGCTGAAGAAAGTCTCTCGTCCAGGACTCGATGTCGGACAGGCAGCTGTCAGGACATCGGTGGTCGTGGAGTTGAGGGTAGAAGAGGAAAGGTAGAGTTGGGTGTCATCCGCATACATGTGGAAGTTAACCCCATGTCTGCGGATGATGTCACCGAGGGGGAGCATATAGAGGGTGAAGAGGAGGGGACCGAGGACAGAGCTCTGAGGGACACCGCACAAAACAGTGCGGGGGCCGGAGGAAAAGCCGTTTATAGAGACAAAATGAAGACGGTGGGAGAGGTAGGACCTAAACCACTCAAGGACAGGGCCTTGAAGGTTGAGGTGGGAGGACATGCGGTGGAGGAGGATAGAGTGGTCGACCGTATCGAATACGGCTGATAGGTCGAGGAGGACGAGGAGGCAGAGGGAGCCCTGGTCGCAAATGGTCAAGATGTCATTAGTGACCTTGACCAGAGCGGTTTCTGTGCTATGGGCAGCGCGGAAACCCGACTGAAGGGGTTCAAAAAGTGAGTGGGTGGAGAGGAAAGAGCGCAGCTGGGAGACGACAACTCTTTCGAGAACCTTGGACAGGAAGGGGAGGTTGGAGATGGGCCGGCAGCTTGATAGCTGCGACGCATCAAGGGAGGGTTTTTTCAATATGGGAGTGATGGTGGCCGTTTTGAGGGGAATGGGAACAGAGCCAGAGGAGAGGGACAGGTTAATAGTGTCTGTGAGAAGTGGGAAGTCTGTGAGAAGTCTCTCGGGTCTAGCTTTTATTTGTCTCTGTCTTCATTTCTCTCTCTCTGTCTCTTTTCTCTCGGATTTTCACTCAGTCTCTCTGCCTCATTGTCTCCCGGCAACCGCGCCGGAACCTAGATAATGTGTGTCTAATATTTATGCGACAAATATTTACATTTATATTTATGCGGGCAGGCCTTCTGCCACTCTGCTCCTACCCTCTGGAACTCCATCCCGCGGTGCCTCTGCCTCACTCCCTCCTTTGCCTCCTTCGACATCCATCTCAAGATCCTCCTTGAAGACAAAGGAGAAAATGGGGTAGAGAACTGGGGATGATGGGTTAGAGATGTTAATGATGCAAAACGAAGGGGTCTTCCTTGTCCTGCCTCCCCCCTCTCTGTTTGCCCTAAAAAGCCTCTCCCTCCCAACATGCCCCAGTTCTGATGAAAGGTCGTGGACCTGAAACGTTGACTCACTTTCCTTTCTCCATAGATGCTGCCTGACCTGCTGAGTGTTCCCAGTCACTTCTGTTTTTGTTTTCAGATTTCCAGCATCTGCAGTATTTTGCGTTTTGAATATATATTGCAATATGGTATTAACTTGTAATTTCACTGAAGGTCACCTGTATTACACCCTCAGAGGACAAGATTTCACGTCTCCACATAGGTACACTTAATAATGAAATGAATGAATATACCAATGTATAGTTACATCATCCCAACAGGAGGGGGAGAGATCCTTCCCCACGTCATTTAAAAAGTCATGTGAATATTCGTCACTCAGGTTATTCCAGATAATTATCAGTAGTTTGTCCTTGTTCAAAAGTGGGGAGAGAGTCGGGGGAGGGGATGAATTATAGCGAC